CCAGGTGCAAGTGGCATTGGAACCAACTGAGCTGCTCAGAATTGCCCCCAGAAAAAGGATTGCTTCTTCTCCTGCAGTAAGCAGAGATGCTTGTTGTTGTTGTTATGAAGACTACAGTCTCCAGGAAAAGCAGAGAAGGGCCCAACAAACACACAAAGTGCTGCACAGCTCGGGCTGTGCTTCATAAGGGCACACTCAGGTGAAAGCAAAACTCGCTCCCATCGAGAGAAATCCACCCACCCAGTGCTATTCAAACCGATGAGGGACATCCAAAGCGACGGCACAGCCGCGCAGATGGGTGAGCGGGGGGTACCGAAAGCAGGGAAACCCAATCCTACCGATCCCCGCAGAACCCCTCGCTCCCGCCTGCGGGGCCCCGGGCGGGCGGGCGGCGACTGCTGAGGCGCTCCCTGCATCCCGTGGGGATCCCGTAGGGATGCAGGGAGTGCCTCAGGAGCCGCCACCGCCCCCCGCCCGCCCCGGTCCGCCTGACGCAGAGCAGCACGGGGCAGCCAACCCAGCGGGGGCTGTGCCTCATCCCGCCCCGCAGCCCTACCTGCCCGCTCCGAGAGGTGCCCGCTGCTGCCGCTCTCCGCCGATTGCCTCACTCGCCCTAAGGACGGGGCGCGCCGAACACCATATTTAGTGTGGGCAACAGCACTGAGCTAACCGGGACCGCTCGGGCTTTGTAACTGGGAGAGGAAGAGCCTCATCCAAGATGGCGGCGCGGCGCCCGCGTTCAAGATGGTGGCGGAGCCTGGGCGTTGTGTTGTCTAAAAGTCATCGTTTTCCAAGTCTGTGTGGCTTAACGCGTATAGAAAGGAGTAGGGAAGCTTGTGTTGGCAGAATGGGGAGCTGTGTGCTGTTGGGCTAGACGTACGGGGTGGGAGAGCTCTAGTGGGTGTACTTGGTGCTGGTTTGCCGGTCCTGCTTTGGGTGAGGTGTGTTCAGGCTGGGGCTGAGGGGATGGCAGGGCAAGCCAACAGAATCCTGGAGTGATAGAATGGTTGGGTTGGAAGGGACCTTACAGCCCCCCAGCCCCACCCTGCTGTGCCCACACTGAGGCTGCCCGCAGCCCATCCATGTGCTCAGGCACTTCCAGGGATGGAGCACCACAGCTCTGCACAGTGCTGGAGCCTCACCACCCTCTGAGTGAAGAATGTCTTCTTAACACCTAACCTAAATCTCCCCTCTTTTAGTTCAAAGCCATTCCTCCTTGTCTTAATGCTATCCAGCCATGTAAGAATTCGCTTCCTCTTCTGTTTATAAGCTCTCTTCATGTACTGGAAGACTGCAGTGACTGCCTTCTCCAGCCTGAACACCCCTGGCTCCCTCAGCCTTTCTTCAAAGGAGAGGTGCTCCAGTCCTCTGAGCATCTTCATGGCCCTCCTTCTGGACCCACTCCAGCATCTCCATGTCTTTCTTTGGTTGGAATCCGTCCACCCAGAGAGCCTCTTCCAGCTGCCCCTGGTCTTGGCAGCACTGGTGACCCATGGAGGCCAATGGATGCTAGGGCTCTCAATGGCAGCAGGTGCATACTTGGCACTTGGGGCACTGACTGCCATGCAGTGTTCGTGCTGGGCTGTGGCCACTAGTTGCTCTTCTGTGCATGTTGTACATTGGTGAGGTTGGGGGGGGGGGGTCTCTCAGTGTCACAATGTTATCTTAAGACAGCTGCACACAGAAGACCCGGTAGCTGAGACCTTGAATCCATCCAATGCAGTAGGGAATATAAAGCACAAATAAATGTTGCATTTACAGGCTTAACATGAAGTTGTGACTTTTCATTAATCATATTTGGGGGTTGGACTTGATGATCTCTGGAGGTCCCTTCCAACCCCTACAATTCTGTGATTCTGCGATATGTCACCTGAAGGTGTATCTTTGTGTTTCAGGTTCAGCTGAACATCATTCACATGCAAAATGTATTCTTGTTTAATCCAGTATCTGCTCATGTCAGTTTTGGGATGAAAATGGTAAAATGTAGGAACCAGTAGCTAAGCTTAACTTCTTAAATTCCCTTTATATAATTCAACACATCCTTTTATCTATTAGATCCATTAGGTGGAAGGATACTTGATCCACTCCTATTTGCACAGGAATGTGGTTCTTCCTGAATAACATCCTCAATTTTGGGCCTTCTTCCTAATACAAATCCAGATACTCCAGAGAGTTTGCTTAAGGCCATAATGTGATTGTTTGTGCAGCTGTTCCTAAACATCACTGTGGATAAGTGGTAACTGAGTTTCTGATTTGACAGCAATTAGTTTTAGATTTAAGTTACATGGTCCAGAGTCCTTTAGGTTTAAGTTTATCAGCTAACTAATTGCAAGTAATAGAAAATATGAACTTATCTGCTGTCTGTGTTGTGTAACAACGGTTGTATGAATGGGGAAGGACTGCAAGGAACTGCAAGCTTGAACTGGTGTGCTTGGGACTCATGAGGTACCAGCTGCTGGATTTGGATGAATAATAAGTCATTAGTGTCTGGTGTCAGCCCAACTGAGCAGCTGACTTCCTCAAAGCTCTATTTTAAAAAAAAATCTATAAGCAGAGGTCTCTGGAAACTGCTTTTAGTGGTAATATACAAAAGATTTATCTAGGGTAGAATGTAATAAATAAGAAATTCACCTGTCCCCTCCAGTCAATATATACCATACAGCAACCGTGAGGGTCTGATTTATTCCTGTATTACTATCTGACAAAATATTAACACCTGTATGTTTCTCCAGTAACAGGATAACTTGATAAGAGTTGATTAAGTTAGAAATTATTTAAATATGGGAAACACCACACATCTGCTCAAGCATTTATTCAGACTGGAATATAGAATGGGTTTTTGCAAGTTACTGCTACTGATTAATGATTCTTATGACATTTTTTGTGCAATCATCTAGGAATTTCACTGCAGTACTTTGAGGGAGGTAATTTGTTAGAAGAACCATCCAGAGATATGTAATTGATTACTTGTAATTTTCTTTTGCCTAATTCTGATAGCTGTTAAGCGGCAGATGTTGATACTGGCTTGAGGCACTTCCAGCTTGCGATGCCTTGCAGTGCTGATGCATAACCTTTAAAGTTTGCTGAAGTTGACTGCAATGCACTGTTTTCATAGAGAAACACTTTGTTTTTCTCTATCGTTGTTGCTAGTGGTGCGGGTGTAAATGTCAAATACAGCAACAGGTTCAACCACAGGGAGAGAGGCCAAAAAAGCAAGTGATGCTCTTAAGCACTGCCTCCCTTTGGCATGGAAAAGCTTTGCCACGGTGAATTCCTTTGGACATAGCCTTGCAGCCATGCAGAGCAACTGAGTGCTGCTGTCCAGAGCAGGCTGCAGCAGGGCAGTGCTTTCACAGTGAGACACTGTGCTCATCTGTTGCCTATGGGAAAATGGTATAAATAGTGGATGGAAAGCAGAAATTGCCCCTTGGCAACCTAATTATCTCCTAATGACACAAGTATAATCTTATACCATGCAACCAAACATTGATTCTTTGCTTGCTGTGTGGTTTGCATGAGTTTTTGTTCTTTTTTTATTGCTCGAATTCTTAAGTTGAAACTGAAAGAGTGGTCAGGCACTGGAATGGGCTGCCCAGGGAGGTGGTGGAGTCACCCTGGAGGTGTTCAAGGAACGTTTGGATTTTGTGTTGAGGGGCATGGCTTAGTGAGAACTATTGGTGATAGGTGGATGGTTGGACTGGATGATCTTGAAGGTCTTTTCCAACCTCGGTGATTCTGTGATTCTGTAATTGCATCCATTTATTCCACAGGCAGAGGAATGCTTAAAATGCTTTTTGATTTTTCAGTATTCCTGCAAAAATGTTGATGTAGTTAACTGGTTTGTGTTCTAATTGTAAAGGAGTATGAGGGAAAATAACACAGCAATTAAATAGGAGCTGCACAGAATCGTGGAACCATCCCATGCTGTCAAGTCTTTGGAAGAATCACTGTATCAGTGTGGGATAATTAAGCATAACCGTGAGTGTGGAACGGAAGGATTCCAGCTGTGACCTCACATGCAGATCTCAGTGCGCTGCTGGTTGCGAACCTGTGCCATGGCTGTTCCTCGCCTTGTTGCCGTGCCCTGCACTCGGTGTGCAGCGCCTGCTCAGCAGGACAGCAGCTGCCCGAGGGAACAAAGATGTTAATGACATGTTGCATTTTAGTGACTATTTAGTGACTAGTGACCAAGTAGGGATCTTGAAGTCTTGAGCTGCCCAGGGATTGCTCTAGAATGGTTGGATGCTTCGGAGCACCTCGTGTTAATGAGCGATTTCAAAACAGGAAGGCGCGCCGATGCCTCACACTGACGGCTGCATTAAGGCAGTACTGGGCGGTCTGCAGGGCTCACAGCGTGACACTGCCTGTAGTTCCCGTGCAGCGGTGCCGTTTGTGCTCATCACAATAACGGTGTGGTTCAAAGCCTATGCCTCTAACAGGGAGGAAAGCTGCAGCTCACGCAAAGCTGAAGAAAGGCAACGTCGGAACACGAACCGACGGCCGGCCGCGGTTCTGAGGCTGAAGCGCAGCCCGGCACCCCCTCCTCCCTCAGCGCCCTGCGCGGCGCGGTCAGACGGGCGCGCGCCGGGGCCCTCCGCTCCGTGCCCGCCCCGCGCCGGGGACGCGCACGGCGGCGGCGGCGGCTACGTGACGAGGCTCAGGTCCACAATGAGCCCCGCCGCGCGGGGGGGTGGGGAGGCGGCGAGCAGGAGGCTGCCGGCGGCGCGGCGCTGAGGCGGCTCCGTGCCCCGGCGGGAACGCGAGGCTTCGCGGCCAGGTACGGCGCTCCGTTCTGCGGCTCTCGGCCCCGTCCGCTCGCCCATCGCCTCGGTGGTGCCGGCTGAGCCGCGAGGCGGGCGGAGCGCGCCGCTCTCCCGCCGCGGGACGGACGCGTGAGGGGCGCGGTGGGACCACCCCGCCCCGGGGGCCGCATTGGCTGCGGGAGGGAGATCGGCCCTCCCGGCCGGGGTAAGAAGGCAGGGGAACGGTGACGAAGGGCGGGCGGCGCGCGGCTCTGACTACTCCTGTCCCGCAGCCCCGGCGGCCAGGCCGAGCGAGAGCCGCCCCGGAGGGACCGCAAATGAAGTGCGAGAACTGCACCAAAAAGGTGAGCGAGGCGTCCCGCGGCGGGGAGGATGCGTTGGGCCGCCCCGAGGTCGGCGGGGAGCAGCGCCCTGCTTTGAGCCGAGCCATCGCGGGGCGGTTCTGCGGCCGTTCCCCGTGTGCTGCGGCCCGGAACGCTGAGAAATGGAAAAGTGGTGGAGCAGGTGGATTTCTGAGCGCTTGTTTTCGTTGTGGGGAAACAAAGCGTTACCTGCAAGGCTCCCGTAGCACCGTTAGAGCCTGTATCGTGAGCCGGATGAGTTCGGAACTGTCGAGATAATTCTGCTGGCACGTTGTTATTCAGCAGTGACTGTATTTCGCGTGATGTGCTTTATGTTGTGTTTCAGGAATGCAGTAAAAAACAGAAAAATGACGATGCGCAAAATACGGCGGTGGATGTGCTGAGTCCTAACGATGACTTTGAGGAGGTAATGGACCTTCTGAAAACAGCCACGCGTTCCCCCTGTATTGCCCCAAAGGAAAGAAGCTCCGAATGGAGAACTTCCCAAGTTCTCATGTAATGCAAATCAGTTCTGACAGCGTCAGTGTATCTCTGGAGAATCAGGAAGTCTTTAGAAAGAGATGGTCTGTAAACACAAAACAAAGCCAAGGGTTTTGTCCGTTGTTTGCATGTCAAACTCTTACCTCAGATCGGTATGGTGGGGACAGAGGTTGGAAGGACGAAAGTGGGATGTTGCCAGTTCAGGTGCACAAATGTTTCTTAAGTATCCCGTGCTGTTCTTTCCTAAGTAACTGTTTCCCTGGCAGTAGGTTCTTAATTGAAGGAATTCGGTCTTTTTGCAAGTTATGTGGTCATCTTGCACTTCTATCTAAATATTCCTTTTCCCCACAGATGCGCTGCCAGTGGTGTTTTAGCCAGAAATACGATGCTCTTGATTTTACAGTGAATGGTCAGCTGTAGGACTGCATTCTGTTTGCTGCACCTAGTGGTTAAAAGCCTTCTTATTAGCTGGCTATTAAAAGAGGCTTAATAGTTGAAATAAGTTTTCTCAGTTACTTGGTAAATGGATGGGGACTGAGTGCTGAAATCCAATGCAAATCAAGTTACTGGATCATAGACTTTGACTAAACTCAGATCTACGAGTTCACACTTGAATGCTTTGCAGTTTCACAGTAATAATAGCGGAAGAAGAATTGATCAAGTTATTGTGATTGTTTCCCTACAATCTTGGGTGTTATACAAATGTTGTAGGTTGTCTTGTTTTAAACAAATCAGTGTATTTGTGCTTCAGCTGGGTCACTGTGCAGGTGTTGAAAATCACTTGATTGTTATTAAATATTTGTATGTTTATATTTTTCTTTCAGAAAAATGAGTTTTTTACATTGGCTAATGCTAAAATACTCCTTAGCGACTGCCTAGCGTGTGACAATTGCATGACATCAGAAGAAGGAGCCAGAGTTTTCCAACAGAATCAGAAGGAGTTCTTTCGCATACTCAACCTTAATAAGGTGAAGTGGCACTACCAATAATACACTGCTTTCTGGGAGCAGAAGGAGAGTGCGGCATGACTAAGCAACTTAATTTCCCAGGGGAAATAATGTGAAGATTTGTCAGGATATATTTTGCCCAAAGGGGAAGTGAAAATGTAGTGCAAGATGAACAGAAGTGCTTAAAATACTTTTGCATTTGAGAAGCAGAATTACAGCACTGACCCTGAATGCTGAAGGAAAGTTATTGCATTTGCAATAGTAAGATTTCTGGAAAAGATAATTTCTTCGTTACTCAAGTAATTAATTAGCCTGAGCTTCGTTGTTTATAAATATTCAGATTAGGGCTTTACTAGGGCTGTTGTACTGGGAAGTTTTTGGTGCCAATGTGTTGACATAATACAAAGTTAGCCTAGTTTTTGGAAGTGGAATTGTTTTCAGTATGTATTCAAGCTGCCTACAGAAATTACTGATAACATTTCTTAGTGAAACAGGTAGATGTGTTCTGATGCTGTTTTCTGCTAAGGTCTGTGTTCTCTGTGGCTTAACTGATATGTTTGGTGTTGTAAATAATAGTATTAGTTACATAGTGATTCAGTTTTATTAGAACTAGTTTAACACTCAGTACAACATGATATTGTACATGAAAGAGAAGAAAATGGGGTTAAAAAACATATGGCTCACGTAGGGTTCACTTAAGAGAACCTGAAGTCCACACTTGGAAAGCACATGGGTACCTTGATCAGAATGTCACAGGTCCTGATGAAGGTAGTGAACGAGGGAGGTGCTTTCCAGAGGATAATGAGCTCTACTTGTGGGGCCATTATACAGCATTTAGGATGTCAAAGTACAAACTGTGGTCTCTAACCTGTTTAGATCAAGATTTGTTTGTAGCATAGTCCTGGTTTCTCTTTCAAATGTTCCACTGGTGTGGACAACATCGCACCTAAACCCCGAGGTTCATCTTTAAAGTTCTGTCATCAGAGCTTCACAATGCACACCACCTTTGGTATTCAAAGAGTGTTCTTTCTTTCACAAATTCTGATTTAAGGGTCCTGTCGGCTTCTCTTAGCTTCTGCAGCTTCTCTTTAGCTTCTGCAGTGACAGAGAGCCTTAACAAATAGGATTTGTAGTTCGCTGGTTTAAATTTGTAACTTCAAATGCCTGTGCTCTGGAAACAGGAGTTCCTTTATTTTAATATATGAACATGCTGCTTTTTTTCTTATTTGACAATAGAAGCTTCTGCTAGGAATCAAAACTTCATAGGTGCTGAATGTCTCTTAAATTTCCTTGTGCCATTAAGGCACCAACCACAAAACAGTCCTAGGACAGATGGATTTCCCTGAGTCATACAGAAGCAAAATCTATAGCTGTTAGAGATAAGCACTGACAAGATCAGAAGCGCATCCTGCGCTGCCCTCAAGAAACAAGATTTGTTGTATCAGTGCTTATGGCTGGACTGGATGATCTTGTAGGTCCTCCCAACCTTGTGATTCTGTGATTCGATGGTGATTTTATTGCTGAGGCTCACTGAAGTGTGGTGAGGAGTGCGAGTAGAACAGTGAGGAGCTCCAAAAGTGGAAAGAGGGAAAGTAGGGAGCCTTACCCTGATGTACTTACTAAACTTGTTTCTTTTGCTTTGTTTTGTTTACCAGAAGTGTGATACCTCAAAACACAAAGTGTTGGCAGTGTCTCTATGCCCTCAGTCATTGCCTTATTTTGCTGCTAAGTTCAGTCTCTCTGTGAATGATGCAGCCAAGAGACTCTGTGGTTTCCTCAAAAGTCTCGGTAAGTCTGGGTTTGTTACAGTGATGGAGCTTAAAGGGAAGATTATTTGGGGCTCTTGCTTTCTCAGCAGAACTGCTTGTTGTGCAGTCATAAAGCCATTGCACAATGTAGTTCAGAGTTGAGTTTGAAATGCCTACTCTGTGATACTAAGGACGGCACACCAGTATGACACACTTTGGTTTTAGGAACAGATTTGAAGCACTGCAGTGCTGACAGGAAAAGTCACAGAACAGAAGGGGGTTGTAGATCCATCTGTGTTCACTACCAAGAAATCAGGGAGAATTTGGTCATGAACTTGAGTAAGATTTCCTCCTTGTTTTAACTGAGGAAGGGGGGAATTCTTATCCTAAATGCCTCCCAGTCCTTTGGTGTGAACTGCTGGAAGATTCTCAGTTCTGGTTATTTTTCTACATTTTGAAATGACCAACAACTGTTGTACTTGCTTGTTTTATGTTAAAGCTGTATTTCCTTAGTCTTTATATTATGCACACAAAGTTTAATTTGAAAAACTAGGTAAAATTATAGTTATAATGCATGAGGGTTTTTTAATGCAATTAAAACTTTTTAAAATTTTTTGTTGCTGTTGTTTCTATGCATTTCTATACCCAATGTATTTTTCTCTACATCCAGAAAGAAAGCTGAGTTCTGGTGGGCCCCAGTTTTCTTAGCACACATTAATTATTGTTGCCTGGCTTGCTGTGGGGTTGTGCTCAGTATTACGTAGGTGTGTAGGGAGTGCATTGCTGAACAGACAGATGGAAGGTCTCAGTGTTGGTGCTGTGTTCATATACCTTTGCCATATACGTGTACAGCAAGATATACATATATACATTTGGATAATAAATCACTTCAGCATATTTTGTGAAGAATGCTCATTGATGGAGTCGCTGCATACAGCCCTGTGGTCTTGAGATTCCAAGTGAACAAAACAGAGTAAATATGTGTGCTGAATGGGGAGATTTTCATAAGGAAGCAAACAGGTATTTGAAGTATTGCTAGTCAGCGATAGCAAGTTGGTGGTGCTTTTTGGTTCGTGACATAGAAGATTAGCTTTCCAGTGTACAGCTGTTATTTTTGACTGCACTAACCATGAAAATTCTGTAGAGGGTGGGCAGTATGCCCGGGGATGTTCCGAAGTTCTTCTGATTGACTTGCAACTTGGAAGGACACCTGGCAGATGGAAAACATTCTAGTAATTTGCTTTTCTTTACTGCTTTGTTTCCTAGGGGTGCATTATGTATTTGACACCACTATAGCTGCTGATTTCAGTATCCTGGAGAGCCAGAGGGAGTTTGTGCAGCGGTATCAACGGAGGAGCCAGGAGGAGCATGCCTTACCCATGTTTGCCTCTGCTTGCCCTGGTGAGAACTGATTCTTCCAACCTTTTTGCCCTTTGGCCAAGTCTCATTAGGGCTGCCCAGGAATGAGGGTGGTTTCATTTGGGAGCCTTAAAGAACGCTGGAGTGCTTTGGCTTTGTTGTGAGAGGCACCAAACGCTGTGTGCAGTACTTGTTACCAGTAGTGACCATCCTTAGTGCAGTGCTCCATGAGCCTGTTTTTATGGGCTGTTGGCAGTTAGCAGTGAGCATCACAAGCTTTCCTGTATGTAAGAGCCTTAAATGTGAACCATGCCAACCAGGAATGGATGTGATGGTGTTGGATGAGTTGTATGCTAAATCATCTGCATCTAACAGTTGCCTCCTGTTGCACCTTTGTAAAAGGTGAGGAGTGCAAATTCTGGTTTTGGTTTTTTAGAAAAGAAACAGGAAAAAATCCTTGCTGGTGGTCTGTGGTCACTTCTGATAACAAGGAACCCAAACTACTGATGTACTGTACAGGTGTCAATGTGTGCTATTTATGAAACCACTTGTATAGAAGCACACATCACACTGGAAGGTCTGGATAATAAAGCTGAGGTGCAGAACTGAAGTTTGTAATCCTCCTTGTGAGGCCTTAGGCTACAGATGAAATTAAGCCATAACCTCCATTATGTATGGTTTTGAACTTTTCACTTCAGCAAGTGACATAACATGCAATGACTGAGGTGGTTCTGTCTAACATTTACAAATGAATTTCCACTTGATGTGACCCTTTGTACTGAGAATTTTGTACCTGAGGAAGAAAAAGTTATGAGAGTGAGTTCTGGTATGTGTTCGTGGATTCCAGAATCAGCTCTTGTCGTTTGAAGTTTAAATATTGATATTTATACTTCTGTTAGTTCTGTATTCCCTCTAGCAGAAGTATCTGGGTCATGCTTTAGGAACTGCATAAATGCAAGAGGGAAAAGCTACTTTTCTTCTGTTAGTGTTATCTTAGTGCTGCCTCTTATCTCGAGAAGCAGACGTGCTGTAGGGTTGCTCCTTTTGAAGTGCAAATATGTTTTTTCTTTAAAAGAAATTCACAGGTTTAGAATTTTAGGAGAACTTCAATTTTATGTATCTAGAAACAGATCTAAGAATTATGCCCCCCTCTCACTGGAAACAGACTAAAATGTTAATGGAGCACTTATCTTGTCCTCGGCTGTTCTACAGAAGTTGCTCTTTGTCTTTAGTGCTAGTTGTGGTGTCAGCTGTCTGCTGTGGCATAGATGTACAGCCATAGGGGCTTTCCATTTCCATAAAACTGAACTGAAATCCCACTGTAAATGCCTTCTAAAAGTGTATGGCATTTCACAGCCTTCAGGGATTGAATTTTTGATCGGTCATCTTTATTGTAAAGTGCTTTACTTTGTTCCAGGAACTTGGCTGCGTGCACTTTCTGTTCCTTGCTTGTCTTCCTCTCTCTGTCCCCACCTCACATAAATTTGTCACAGAAATGTTGACATGCTTGTCACAGAAATAGTTTTTATATAGCTCTGTAGATCAAGGTCAATGTGAATCCAAGTGTAACTGCTTACCTCATATTTATCCTTGGGTATAACTCCACACATTACAGTATCACCCTCTGCAGTAGTGCTCTGTTCTGTAAAACATACCCTGAGCAAGAGGCCACAGCTGGGGTAACCCCAGAACCCGATAGAGGGGCGTTTTATTATCTCTGCCCAAGTTGTTTTTCCCTCCTCCTGCTGTTCTCATGAAGTCAGATAATACTGTCTTTAATTTCTTGTTCAAAATGCTCAAGTGTGGCTACTCTTCTGACTGTCTGCAGGAGTGATTGAAGCTCAAATACCCGTGCTGGTTAGCAACATGAAGCACTTGCTCTGGGAACCAGACAACTTTAATACACTGCTAACCTCTGTGAGCTAATTAGTTAATGGGGCAGGCTTACAGCCTAAGCAGGAAGAACGTAACTGTTGGGCATTCAGATGGTGCTGTCCCAGCCAACTAAACTAACCTGCTTCTACAGGAATGGAGTTTTACCATACTGGATGTTTTCAGTGTAGTTTTTCTGCACTTTATACTGATGCGTATATAGTTATAGTGTATGTCTATATATGACTTCCTGATGATAAAGCACTAGAAATAACGTGTCCCACAGTGGATCTGTAAGCATGTGCACAGTGCTTGGTGGGGATTTCTTTTGGTTCTTTGATGCTAACACCAGCCAGCACGTGGCTGAGGATCTGAATGAACTCAGGAAGGGTGTGGGCCTGTGTGGGGGCAGATGCAGGCTGATAGCAGAGCTGGGTATCATAGGCTTCCTGTCACTGCAGCTCTGGAATCCAGCCCTGCTGATGGAGCAGCTGGTGTGTGTGCAGGGTGCAGATAGATGCCTGCTGTGCCTCAGCCACCACTGCTGCTTGTAAGTTAAACAGTGAGCGACGCTCGCTGTGCAGCTGGAGCTACTGGATGCTGTTCTGCCTGCTGTGAGAAAAGAATTGAAGAGTTGCCTGGAGCAATACCTGCCAGAAGTCCCTCATGGTTGGATGAAATTTCGTTATGGTCGTGACTACAGTATCTGAATTTTACCTGGGTTCCAGCTTTGTGCTGTTATTGGCCTTCTTGGCAGTGCTCTGACTTGCACGTGGGTACAAACACCCAGCAGTATTTTAACTTAAGCTTAAGAATTAAGTGGTTGCTGTTACCTTTCCTGGGCAATACGTACTTCAGAGCAGTTTTTCTTTTATGTAAAAGCTGATGTGTTTGAAAGCTAAAAAGCAGAAACATGAAACGTTCATATTCATTCTTAACACCACAAGAAATAAAGTTCCCTAGAAGGCTGGGCTAAATGCTTCTGCACAACTTAGGGATCTGATTTATAGTTCGTTCAGAACTTTTCTTCACCCGCATGAAGTCCTTGCTGTAAAAGATGCTGGGCTGTGTTCTCAGTAAGAGCTACGGTGCCAGTGTAAGACTTGCACGCCTGGCTATCTTAATCTGCCCGTTTGTCAGTTTGTGTTTGGGAAAGTGAGGAATATTAGGGCTGCTCTGGAGAGTGGGAGTGGTGTGAATGTAAATAACACATTAGAGCTGAGCTGAGGGATCCCGCTGGAGGGGCTGGGGACTGCTGAGTAACTAAGGCTGAATGCTGAATACAAAGAGACTTCAGTTAACTAGTATGTGTGTGTGTGGGGGGGGAGGTGTTTCTAAAGAAATCGTGTCTCAAAATAGTAAAAGAAGCCTTTTTTTTTTTTTTTAATAGGCTTAATCCATGTGCATCTTGTGGTCATGCTTTCATGTGACTTCTGTTCTAGACAAAGACTAGGAGTGCAGATATTAAATCTCAGGAAATGGAGAGTTACAGTTAAGCTGCTGAACAGAGTGCACTTGTTGGAGTATCTGCTGATTCAAGGGCTGAAGTCTAGGAAGTCAACTTAGTCTTCATTAGCTGGGATCTTGTTCCTTCTGCTCTGTTAAATCTATGCATTAGAAAGAATTTCATAGGTCATGCAATTCACAGAGGTTTCTGGGTCTCGAGTTAATGCCACAGTGGATTATTGATAGCCAGTTGTAAAGCATTCCTAACAGAGCCTTGAGGTTTCTGGTAGGTCCTAAAGTGGAGCCTCCAGCCTATGCAGACTTCATTTTCAAGGTGAAAATGTTCTCCCTGCTGTGAAGTTCTATTAATGTCACCTTGCCATGCTTACGTGTCACCTAATTCTCTAATGGTGCCTTGCTGCTGCTCTAGGTTGGATCCGGTATGCAGAAAGGGTTCTTACCAACCTTGTGACCCCCCACATTTGCACTGCAAAGTCTCCACAGCAGATCATGGGCTCCCTGGTAAAGGGCTACTTTGCCAGGCAGCAGGTTAGTAATTCTGCTTTGTTTTTACCTTTATGCTATTGAACAGATGGGCTAGAATGTTTTAATATAGAAACGTAGAGCTTGGTGTCCTCTAAAGTGTTACAGAATCTTCTGAATTTTCTTTCACTTGGAGAATAAATGCTGCTCCACTGCCGTGTGAGGGTCCATGATATGAAGAATGTACAAAGACTCTTATTTAATGTGCTGCAGTGTGAGCTGGCAGTAATCCTTGTGCTGCCACTGGAATGTGGATTTAGATATTATGGCTAAATTAAATCTGGGGTAGATAAAGAGATCCTTGTAAAATGCTGCCTGTGTAGTTCTGCAGCAGCTGAAACGGGAGTAGAGGAGAGCTGTAGAAATTGCTGGGTTGTGCATGGTCAGTGGAAAGCACTGTGTCCTGGAATATAATCCTTCTATTTTTTCAACTTTTTATGTTGAAAAAAAGGTTGCTATTCCTTTTACATATTGTACACTTACCCATATTCCAGGTTATATAGAAAAGTATTGCTATTTCTGCACAGATACAGAAACGTTGGTGAACTTGAATATGGAAGGGAATGAGTGACAGAGGTAGAAAACAGAATTCTGAAATAGAAATCTTAATTTGCACTCATCTTTAATGCAGTCAACAGCTACAAAAGCTGCATGTTCTGTGGTGTGAAGGAATAAGTAGAAGTTTCAGACAGAACACTGACTTGTTGATGACACTTCCAAGTTCTGGCAAGCCACTCAATCTCTCTGTGCTGCAGCCCTCGAACTTATTGCTAGGGACTGATGTCTAATATTAGTTGGGTGTTATTTTTAGCTTGTCATCCTTCAAGCTTTCTTTTGTTCTTCATGGAATTAACGCATGCTCTCTTTTCTGCAGAATTTGTCTCCAGAAAAAATCTTCCATGTAGTTGTGGCACCTTGTTACGACAAAAAACTGGAAGCCTTGAGGGAGGACTTCTACACTGCCTTGTACAACTCCCAAGAAGTTGATTGTGTTCTAACATCAGGTTAAGCCTTTATTATTTCTAAAGACATTCCCAAATCTCCTGTGCTAGAATAGCATTTATACAGGCTTTGTGATTGGTATTTTTGTTGTTGTTCATTTGTTTTTCTTTCAAGGCTGCTTTAGCATTCTCCTGTTAGCCAGACTTGACCCCACAGAAAGGCTAGGTAGCATTTTGCAAAGTCCTTTCCTTCAGGGCTGGAAGTGTCAGGCTCCTCAGTTATTGGAGGTAACTGACTATTAAGAACTGGAGAATGTGACTGTAAGCACGTGGGGTGTAGAGCTCTTAAACAGAAGCACAGCATCTGCATTTTGCTTTGCACTGAAAGTAAAACATCCTGCATTTTTCTACAGGTGAAATTGTCCAAATAATGGAGCAGAAAAATGTGTCTATGAAAGATGTGACTGAAGTAGCTGTAGATACTTTGTAAGTAGCTTTGTTGTGGATTGCTTCCTTATTTTGATGGCAAGTAACAAAACTTTTGCTCGTATTCAATGTAAATGTAAAACTCTATTAATGTGAAGTGGAACATTCCTTCCTGAAACTAAGTTTTACCACATCCCTGATAGTGTTCAGATATGTTCTCAGTCTCTGTTCTAAAACCCTTTTTTGGGGTTGGTAAGAAGAGAAGGAAAAAAACATGCTACTACCTCAAAGAGAAGGAATGAAATGTTGGAGTGGATCTCTTTATTGTTTCCTAAGGTTTGGAGAGATAAAGGAGGGTGATGTGGTAAGGCATGATGGGAAGAGATCTGATGGGTACCTGGAGCACATCTTTAAACATGCTGCAAAGGAGCTTTTTGGCATGGATGTCAAAGAAATCACCTACAGAGCATTAAAGTAAGCAAGCTTGTATCCTTGTTACCCAGGATGGGCTAGCTAACACACAATGAACCCTTATTGTAACCTTACTCTTTCATTGGTGGGAGCTTAATGTATTATAAATACATAAATTTGCTGCTGTAAAATAGTTGTTTTTTAGCTTCTGTTGTATTAATAACTTACTAGTTCTTATAAGTTTCTGTCTACTACTGTTGTCCTGAAAATTCCACTGTAACTTCTGTTTCACTCAGTGTAGAAACTGGAAGTTTGCATTTTTTGTTATCCTTATTCTGCTCTCTCAAGCATCTGAATACGAGCTGACAGCTGGATCATCCCTTTGGTAACGTAGGGCTTTGAAAACCTTCATATCTTCATAGGAACAAAGACTTTCAGGAAGTTACCCTTGAAAAGGATGGTGAGACAGTGCTGCGTTTTGCAGCAGCTTATGGCTTTCGGAATATCCAAAACATGGTTCTGAAGTTGAAGAAAGGAAAGTTTTTATACCATTTTGTAGAAGTCCTCGCCTGCCCAGGAGGTAAGGATGCTCACGGATCCACAGGCATTGCACACACAGCTCAGATCTCAAAGAAAGCTTGTCTGACAGCCAGGCACTTTGTTTCATTCCTTAATTCTCTTCTCAATAACCTAAAATGCTCAATACTTAGTAAATAGTCCAGAACACCAATTATACATGTACAGGATTGGCTGAGAAATTGATTGGATTTTCTAAAATTAACCATAACATTATTTGCTCTCTTCTGATCTATAAATAAAAGACAACATGGCTTCTCCTGTGATTATTTAAAACTTCAGAGGGAATACTCTGAAACAGTGGTTGTCAAGGGCAAGAAAAGACAAGGCACGTAATTAAGATCATAAAACCACAGAGGAGGCAGGGAAGGAGTGATGTGGAGACTTCACTTCATCAAGATGTTGGTATTGAAGTCACATGAAGTATATAGAAATTCAAGCTACTTTCTGTAGAGCAGTATGGAAAAAAAATTCAAATCTCATCTCAAACCCTCATCACCGTTGTGCCTTACTCCTTTTTTTTTTTTTTTATAAGGGTGCCTAAATGGAAAAGGCCAGACACAAACTGAAGATGGGAAACCAGATAAAGCACTGCTTAGCCAGATGGAGGATGTCTATGCTGCAATACCTGTCAGACTTCCAGAAGCCAACGCGTACGTACAAAAGATGTACCAGGACTGGCTGGAAGGCATGGATTCCAGGAAGGTCCAGGAAGCTTTGCACACCAAATACAGTGCAGTAAATCAAACAGCAAGCAACTTAGATATCAAATGGTAACAAATCAAACTTCCCAAATATTTGCTTAAATTAGTTACAGATTGAGCACTGGAAACATTCTATGCAATCGCAGACGCTATGCACTAGCCAAGTGTACAGATGAGATGCTTTCCAAATTGTGGATCGTTTATCATGAAGAACCATTGCTTTTTGCAAACAAAACCAGAAGTCTCCAAGAGCCCTGGCTCCTGCTGGGTTCCTGCCATTGTCTGTAAGCTCTTACTGCTTGTTGTCTCCTGTGTATAATGGATTTCTTCATTCAAGAATGTGATCTTGCAAGGTACACGAGCACTTTCTGCCAGGTGCAGGGAGTGTAATTCTGAGATACTCCAGATTGAGGGTTCCCACTACTTCACAAATTGGGTTTTTTGCAGGCGACATCACCTTCTCCTACTCCACAGTGTGCAGTTTTCTTCTTGGGGGAACAGTCATCATGAATTACTATATTATTCCAGTTGTTATTTATTAACTTGGGATTTACTTGTCGTCTTGTTAAAATAACTCCACAACTTGGACAAGTGTGTATATGGAGAGATGTAAGGAATTTATACATGCCTTCTGTCTGTATTTGAGCAAATGCTTTTCAGTTCCAAACTAGTCACTGTTCCTTACTGGTAAAACCTTTTGTAGGGAACAAGATACTTCATATAGACTGAACACGAGAAATTAATGTTAAGTGGTTGTAATGCAATCCTTCCCATAAAAATACTTGCAAATTGGTTGGTACAGAAAGAATTTTTCCTCTTAAGCTTTCTTATAAACTCGCAGCTAGAAAGAATGATGCTGCTTACCTGCAGTTCTTTATGGAAGCAAAATGTGCAGATGTGCTGCCATGTGAGCATGTGCACAACAGCTTCGTTAGATCTGCTGAGCCAGATTTACAGCACTTCCATCTCATCTTTCACTACACAGAACCACATTATTCCTTTTAATTTATCTCCACGATGGATTTCTGTGAGAGTAACTTCATGGAGTGCTTCTGGAAAACTACTTAGCAGTGCTTGTGAGGTCAAATTGTTATGCATTGGCGTCATTAATTTTGGTGTCCTTATTTTTTAGGTGTGCCATTTTTGGTATGCTTTTTATTTAGCAAACATCTTAAAGTGGTATCTGTGTGCAAACACTTCTCCGATCTCTGTGAAGCTGCAGTTGTTCTGTCCACCATAATCTTGAACATCAACCTATTGCCAAACATCTGCAGATTATCCTAATAGCATCAAATTTGTTCTTGATTAATGAATTATTATTATTTTTAGCTAGCAAAGTTTCAGATTGTTTTCTAGTCTGAAAATACAGCTTGGATTTTTTTCAGTTGTTTCAGGAAGCGTTTGAATGCATCTTGCAAATTTCCTAGTTGTGCAGCTGCTTCTGTGCATCACTTCCAGTACTGCAAAAACCTGTGTCTGTTTGCAATCAGCATTTGACTTGAACGCAGTGGATGTGATAAAGGCATCAGTAGAGGCAGTGCAGGTGTTTGCAGTGGCAGAACAGAGGCTCAAGCACAGAGTCCTGAGTTCCCCTGATGCCGAGAGAGCTGAATGTGAAGCTGTTAATAGAACTGATGTCTTAGTTGGGCCTCCAACTAAATAGAACGTTTCACTTGGAGGGATGTTTTTTCCAATGCACATGAATTGGATTACTGCTCTACCTGAAGGCACACAATGAGATTATTCCTGTAAATCAGCCTTTGTAAGTTGTTCCTTGTTTCAATAAAAACCTTATTCTTATGTGGTGCAATATCAGGACATCTACAGAAATCTACCTCTGTCCAGGAAGGGAGTCCAGAAGCATGGGAAGACCCAGGCATAGCCAAAATCTCCATAAATGCTGAGGCCAGACAGTGGTGTTGCATAGAAGGTCTGAACAGCCTGTTTCTGGAAGCAACACCTCACCCATTCAGTCTCCTTTTCTTTCCGTCATGATTTCCTCCAAAAACTTCCCTAGAAAGAAATAACTTGTAACAAAGTGGTCTCGTTCTGTTTGTACAGGCATACGTTTCTATGTATATATGGTTTATAGCTTGATGGCATGTTTAAATTATATTGCTTCCATCTTTGTATAGTGTGCTTATTTTTTATGTGTGTGTACTGGACAAAATGGTACGATAGCGTTGTTTGCTTTTCTGATGAAATCTTCATTAAATTTCAAAAGCGCTGCCTTTCAATTCTGAAAAGGTACCCTTGGATTGTTTGCACAACCTGGGCCACTGCTGCTCCTGTTCTCCTCTGCCTGCCGCCCTGCTGTGACCCCAGGAGCAGCGCAGTGCCTGCAGTGAGCCTGGCTGCGCTGCTCTGCAAAGCGAGCACGTGGCTCAGCTCAACCAAAAGCCAACCCTTTTCAGTTGAATCCACCCCCCGTTTCTTCCCTCTACTTAGCATTGTAATGCACTGAGATAGCAGTGTGAAGACCCAGTAGCAAATGTCTCCTGCAGCCTTTTGAAAGCGACAGAGGTGTTGAGCTGCACAGCTTCTAGTGGCGAGTTGGAATGTATGTGTTATAACAGTGATGTGTCTGATACTTGTCCTTTTTGCTTTGTAAGACTTGGAGTAAAACTGATTTTAAATTTTTAGAACTCTTCTTTAATGTGCCAGTCGGGCTTTTTTTTAATGACCTTTTAACATTAATTAGCCTTTGTCCTTTTACCTTCTTTCAGTGAGATTTTAACATATATTAGACAGCCTTGTTGCAGCTTTGCCTATAGTGGAATACTTGCCTGAGACTCGATTCTGGCTTTTAAGTCCACGTTTGCCATGTCTGTCATTGCTGACAATACATAGTTTTAGCTACAGTTTCTGAAGCTACAGCATCACTTAGATCTGATCATTTTTTTGGTAAATAATAATAATCTTCATTGCTGCTGCTTTTCAGCAGCGAGGGAGCAGTTGGTGGCAGCCGTAGTGCTGTACTTCTCAGTTGAATGTTGTGCTGAGACGATCTGCCTCCAGGTGATTTTTAGAAAGGAGTACAATGAAGGGATGGGGGGAGGGTAACTGGAAATGCTAAATTTCAATTTGGAAGCTGCCTTAAGGTATTACTGACTTGAACACATCGAGCGGTAGGTACCTTGGGTTACGCAGTACCTGGTGCTGAGACTGCTCCTAGGGGTTGTAAAGTAATTTTGCTCTGCCTTTTCCAGTAAGTTTGCCTGAGCCACAGAGCCTTGTGTTGGTTTATCCACTGCAGGTAAAGAAGAGTGACAGAGTGACAGACATGTTTGTACGTAGCGGTCTCAACTGGATTATATCTGGATAATAATGTTCAGTTACTGAAACCACAGTGCTTTGTGTTCAAATGGAGCATGACCATGAATTGTCCTAATAAATCTTGATACTGGATCATGAACTCACGTCTCATTCCATGTAAAACTGGACTTGACTTTAAGTTCTCTTTGTTCTAATCTACAATGTTTGAATTTACAAATTTCTACAATCTACAATGATTGAATTTATATGAATGTGCTGTAACAGCAACAGTGCATCAGCTCTTTATGAGTGCTGGGGATTACAGAGACACTTCCAGCTGTGCTCTGAAGGGAACAAGTTTCTGGTCAGCAGCTGGAAATGGTAACATGTTCTCTATGACTACACACAGTGCATCACTGGAAGGCAGAGGAGCACCCAGTGGTTCTGAAGTGCTCTCAGCTGGGAAGGATGGTGTTGGTAGGGCAAGTCTGCGCTGCTGGATGGTTGCACTGATTTAAAACATCAGCATGCAAGGAGCAGTAAAGAGATCTACCTTGGGATAGCAGGATCAATCCCTGCTGAAAGAACAGGGTGCTGCTACAGCGTGCAACGTTAGTTTGAGATGCTGTGCATCGGCAGGGCATGCAAAGATGTAATTAATTAATTTTGCAAACATTTTCATTAATTCTCTCAAGCAGGATTCTGAGTTCCATAAAGTAAGGGGTAGCTGTGGAGGCGGTCTGCATTTCTCCAATGGACAGTAAGGGAGTGGATAGTTACCTGGAAGTAAAGAGGGTTGAGCTGATCTTCAGAACGGAACAGAGCAGGGCCGATCCCGTATGTAAGCAAGCAGGGACAGCTGCTGAGGAGGTACTGGGAAATTGAGCCATCCTTAGGCACTTAGAAGTAAATAAGGTTTGTGGCAGCAAAGCAGAGGTAAAACTACTGAAGTTGCACAGAGTACAACGCGAGGCTACAGCCAGACGTACCGAATTAGCAAAATAACGAAAGACCTGATTAACTTTGGGTGAGAACTATTTGGAAATTAAAATCTCCCTTGTTCGTGTTGTCAAAAGTACGCATCTTGCATCGCCCCCTTTCAGACACACAAGAACAGCACTGCAACTGGCACCACGGAAAGCCCTTACGGCTGTCCGCCCTCCCCCCCCCCGGGCTCTCAGCGCTTTCAGGGCTCCTCGGACGCGCTCCTCCTTCAGTCATCTCTGCGCCGCCGTGAAAAAGTAACCCCTCTCCACCAGGTTCTACCGAGATTTGAACTCGGATCGCTGGATTCAAAGTCCAGAGTGCTAACCATTACACCATAGAACCGCACGGTGGCACCCGCCTCTCCTGTGCTGCATAATAAATCATCAACGATGCTCAGCAGTAAAACTCCCCAGCACGACCGACCGCTGAACAGAGCGTTGATGGCAGCCCAACCGCTCGCCTTCTGCCTCTCTGCTCCATTCGATGTCCGACATAGGATGACGACAGCTGAACTATTAACTGCAGGACGCGGCAGAGGTTGCCGGGAGAAATAGCGCAGGAAAACTGCTGCTTTCAAACAGGTGAAGCAAACAGCAGGAGGGGCTGCGGAGCTCAGCAGGCGGCCTCGTGTTCTGCTGGCACCGAGTTGCTGCTTTCACACGGGTTGCTCATCGCACAGAAAGGAACTAGTTACACTTCAGCACACTGCAGCAGGTCTGAAATTACACAGATAAGGCAGGTAGCGATGCAGTAACTTAGATGCAAAAAATACACGCAAAAAAAAAAACAGACGAAAAAAAAATGAGAGGGCTCTCTCGCTTTTCTGTTCTCCTGTACGCCTGATTTCGGCAGCACAGGTCAGTAACTCACAGCACTCCAAAAGCCAACGAATCACCCAACTTCCCCACGACGGCGGCCGTTCACCAAATGTCGTCCCGGACAAAAACTCTCAGGTTCCACCGAGATTTGAACTCGGATCGCTGGATTCAGAGTCCAGAGTGCTAACCATTACACCATGGAACCGCTTGTGAGCAGCCTCCCAGGCACTCCTGTTGAGGGAGTCACACATCAAGGAGCCCCTTGTCAGTTTCCTTTCTTCGCGTTTTCCCTTGCAATCCGCATGACAAATCCTACTGTTCCTTTATCGCAACGCATCACAGCAGTGAAAACAATGCCATTTCAGAAGCCCCTTAACATTAAACAAAACCACTAAGCCCTCTCTCGCGTCACTGCCAATACAAACACAGCCTGAACGGAGACTTGCAACACTACTGCACTCACTTTCACTTCGTATCTGTAGGCCCGTTTTGCTTTCACGCATCGTTTGTCTGCTTGCTTTGGTTGAGAAGATGCACATACCAGCATCACAACCACAGGCGTGAACTGACCCACAGAAGGTGACTGGGAGCCATGAAGCGGATGGGACGGGCAAACCACACAGAGCAGTGACTGCAGGACTGAAGCACTGCGCCGGGCTGGAATAAAAGGAGCCCCAGCACAGAGCTTACGTGTCGCCATCGCACCGAGCGCATCGCGCGTCAGCACTACAGACCGACCACAGACCGACCCGACCCCACAGTGCGGCCCGGCTGTGCCCGGTAACGCAGCTCAGCACAAATGCCGCTCGTGCTAATATGGCTGTTCGCCCCAGAGCGAAAATTAAGCCTAGCAGAGGATGGTTTCGATCCATCGACCTCTGGGTTATGGGCCCAGCACGCTTCCGCTGCGCCACTCTGCTCCTCGTTACACGTCTTTCATGGCGGCACTTAGAACAGCGCCCGTCCCGCCGCCCCACGCCTCGATTCCAGCCGCTGCTGCTTAAACCCGACCCCCCCCCTCCCCTAGTCCCCCGCTGCCGCGCAGCTCCCCCACGAATTGAGCGCCGCAACAGCTGCTGCGTGCGCTGTGCAGACACCTGGCGAAACGACGCGAGACTGAAAGCACCGGGATACCGCTGCGGAAAACCAAGTACAAACTCCTGATGTACTACCGCAGAAACAGCGCCGACTCCGAAGAACCGAGCGCTGCTGGCCTTAAAGTCCTACCAAAACTAAAGAAACGAACCCAGACGCGGCCGCCGAGCCCGCACACCAGCGGGCAACCCGCCCCTCCCGCCGCCCCACAGTGCTGCGCGCATATTTGCATAGCGCGGTGCTCACTAGGGGAGATTCGCCCCCTCAGGTCCGCTCCCCGTAAGCTGCCCCGCACCTCTGCCAGTGCCGTATGCTGTCTGTGTACCCCAGCACACACTTTGTGCTTGCCTCACCGCGGGCTCACCCTATCCTATGAGAGCTCAGTGATCTGAGCTATAAATACCGCTCAGACGGAAGGGCAACTCGTGCTCGCTTCGGCAGCACATATACTAAAATTGGAACGATACAGAGAAGATTAGCATGGCCCCTGCGCAAGGATGACACGCAAATTCGTGAAGCGTTCCATATTTTTTTTCTTTTTCTACTTATGCCCTGACTCTACCAGATACCTGGGCAGCCTGAGCTGTTAACAGGCAGCCCGCCACGGCAGGGCACGGCTGGATGTGCGGCCCCTCCAGCCCGAGCCATTACAGCCCTTCTCAGCTCTCAGAGCCTTGCAGCTCGCCCTGCCTCACTCACACGCTGCTCCGCACTCCCCACACGGCACCCACTGACCCTGAAGGCACAGGGCTGAGGAACCCTGAGTGAAGGTGTCTTCCCTACCTGGAGCACCTCCTGCATTCTGCTCTGCGTTGTTCTCCTCAAGCTGAGACCCTGAGGCCTCAGGGTTACACAGCTTAGTCCAGAAGTCCCCTTCAGCACAGGCACGAGGATTGCAACAACGCCTGTAAAACCTGCTGCAGAGAAACGACTCCCAACAAGAGGAGTGCTGTGGGTTCCTGGCCCTTTCGGGCCTTGCCTCGGGGCTCAGATTATAGCATTACCACAGGGCAGTGCCTGTCTGAATGTAATTCTCTCAGGTTCTATCCCTGTCCTTTCTCTCTCCTGCTGTCTCTGGGCTGTGGCACTGACATCTGCTCAGCCCTGGTTCAACTCACACTGCTCCACTGTACTTCTCAGACATTCTGTAAATACCTGGAGGCCCTTCCCTTCTACCCCAGTGTGTGAATTCAACACACCGTGCACAAACAGCACTACTGCTGAGCTATCTGCCAGACCAGTGTGTTTCCCACACAGCTACCTGCAGACTTCACTCCTGCCCTCTTTTGCTCTGTCCATCCAATAGGCGATGCATCAGTAATAAAAAAAAATGTGTAAATATTGTATTGGTGCAGTAAATACTCATTCTTTATCTAGCTAGAGTGTTTAAAAAGAAGAGGCCCAGAAGGAGCTGAACTGAGGGTGCTGTTAACTCCTCAGCTCAGGTATTCTGAGATTTCCAGGCAAGCATTGCTCAGCTGACTGCTGTAACTATGCTACAAGAATTCTTTTACAGATTATAATTTGCAATTAACTTGCACACTGAAATAAACCTGCTGAGATTCTGTTGTAAATGATAAAAGGTAATGAGAAGTTTAAATACTTTTTTTTCAAGTTATCTAAATATTGGACAAAAGAAGAACAAAAATATGTTATTTGGGTCACGTTTCTTAGCAGTTGCAGCAGTCAAATAAATGTTGCTACACAGTCTTCAGTCATCTCCTCCTTTTTGAGCTAACTTCTTTAACTATGTTAATCATCAAAATTGACAGCAGAAAAATAAAATCAGCAGGTGTGATTGTCCTTACATTCTTTAGGTAAAATCACCCATAAATACTTCTAATAAAAGTGGTTTGTCTTCTGAGACATTTAAGAATGCATGTGTAAGCAGAAGTGTATGGCAGCACTAAGAAACCGATAGGATATCTGACATCATACATTGTGACAGCATGGCTTTCAAATCTTGTCTTCCAAATGGGTTCCGATTCTAAATCAATTTTCAAATGGAATTGGTTTCATTTTGCTTTTAGTGGGATTTATGTAGCATTTCCCTTTCAGTGCGAAAGTCAAACAGGCAACTGAGGGGACGGTCCTGGCTTTGCTCCTCAGCCTGGCTGCTCACGAGGTGTCCTGCAATTCATGCTGGGAATTGTTGCATGGCAGAAGCGCACTGTGACCCTCGTTCTGGACTTATGCAGCGAATGTTTAAAGCTGTGTTGTGCCAGTGAGTGCTGACTGTTCCAGAGCACCATCTGCTCAGCTGTGGTAACGCTGACGCCGTGTGACGGGGCTGTCGTGCGGCTGGTTACCAGTCATGGAAACCCCAACCAGTACAAAACCGTCACTGGAGCCAAATTAAAAGCGATCCCTCGTAGGTGTGCAGAACGGGAAGCGCCTCCTGCGTGCTTTGGGGCGGTTCCGTGTGGGGCAGGGAGTCGGACTCGATCCCCCCGGGTCCCTTCCAGCTCAGGACTGCGCGATTCCTGTCAGCGCTGGTACCTTACAGATACCGCTTCTAACCTCAGCGTCTTTAAATGCCGTTGTGAGGAGGAGAATCTGTAATTAACCGCACATTTTAACGTTTCAAAAGGGATTTTTAAGGCTTAGAACCGCTACTCCAGCACGCCTCCCAAAGCGCCCCTCACAGCGGGCGGTACGTCATCAGCACGCGCCGCTCCCCGCGCGCCATCACAGCGGGGTATTACGTCATCAGCACGCGACGCGCCTCATCGCAGCGGAGCCGTACGTCATCAGTGCGCGCAGCGCCGGTCACGTGTCCCTTGTTTACCTCCGGCGGGAGTTGCGCTGCTGCGGCGGGCTGTGCGCAGGCCGGCGGCTTCCCTGGGAAGAGGGGAAGCACCTCGCGGCGAGGGCAGGTGGGAAGCGGACAGGTAGGAGGCCGGCTGGGGCCGCGAGGGCGGTGGTTCCCCTCGGGGACGGGGGGAGACCGGGCTGCGGAGGGCCCCGCGCTGCGGCACGACTGCAAGCATCGCTCGGAGAGTGGCGGGGGCTGCGGTCGCGGGGCGGGGCGGGGTGGGGTGGGAGGAGCCTGGGGAGGGACGGGCGCCGCAGCTCGTGAGGTGATCGCAGTTTTGGGGCCTTAATTTCGTAGAAGTGAAGCGTGTCCCATGTTTGGGAGCAGCTTCTGCCGCCGTGGCTCTCATTGCTAAGGTATAACCTTTCTCCCTAAGCGATCTGTTCTTTATTACTAGGCTTACGATGTCGCTGCCAACGAAGAGGTGTGGAAGACCACCGGTGTTGTCTTTCCTGGAAAAGAAAAAGAGAAAACAAAGTCTTGATAGGAGGAGAGGGAAAACCAGGATTTATGTTGGAAATCATATCGACCGATGGCTGACGCTGAAGGAAAAACTGGATTTCAGAAACGATGCAGAAGTCGCTGGGTTTTTATTGGACTTGTGAGTAGACTGTCAACATGCTCTTCTGTTTAATAGTACCATGTAAATTCCTGGCATCCACATCAGCTGTTTTGTTTCTAGGTATGACAGCTATGACCCGCTGACAAAAGCTCCCATCTGTCCCCTCCCTGGGGGTGTGAGAAGAATCACTGTGAAAGAAGAAAGAACATTGTCAGACAGTGCTTGCTTAATAGCAGCTGACGGAACGTTAGTAGTGTACTCTCTTTATATGTGAAGGGGGCAAATTAAATAATTTTCTTGATAGTACTCAAAAGGTTGCAGCTGAGAGGGGAGTATATAAGGAATGAGAAAATAAAATCAGCTGTATGCTCAAGTGTATAATTTGGCTATCATTTCTAGAAGCTTTTCTGTTCAATTTTTTGTTTGTATTGTTAAATATGTAATGGTAGTCTAGAGAAAACAAAACATCTTTACAGAACAATACATTGAAATTAGAATTTTGGGTTGGGTTTGCAGGTATGATGATGGTGACCCGTTGTCTAAAGAGGCTGCTTGTTCTGAACATGGAGACTTCAGCATTGTCACTGTAAAGGAGGAGCGAGAGATGCCACCTCATTGCTCATCAGTGGAGACAGATAACACGTTAGTGATACCACGGGGTTCTTTTTGCATGTTTTACATTTGAAAATGTTTTGTATTGACTTTTATTATCACTTTTAGTTTAGCTTATCAGAAGCTCGCATCATTCAATTCATGCTCTGTTTCCTTACCTGAAAGGGGATGATCATTCCAGTCACTGTGAGGGAAGCGTCTGGGAGAGTTTTTGGAAGAGCTGTTTCTTAGAGTATACACAGCAAACTCCTTGTTCAGTGACTTGTCTTCCTGAAGTCTGTGAATGGAACAAGAAAGTAGCTGATATGTGTGAAATATTGGCTGCATTAGTAAATAACAAGGTTTTCAGTCATGCAGTTTACAGACACATGTATGGTTTAACATTTTAGAAAAGAAAAATGTTTCTTTGTTGACTGTTTGAGTGATAATGCATACGAAGGGATGCATAAACCTACTTAGAAGTAGTGCTGTGCTCAAGGAGGCAACCACGCCATCAGTCGACTGCTGATGTCTTTTACTGCAGTGTCACCAGTAACTGAGGCATTCACAGTTGAGAGATCAGAGGAGCCTCAAATAGGTATGCTTGTCGTTTACTATCTATTTAGGTTTCAGTTATCCACAAGTGTTACTGAATAATCATAATTTTCTCCTTGTCTTAGTTATCAGATGTTTTACAAATGTATCTTTTAATATGTGCAGGGGGACACTGAGATCCTAGGACATTGGCATTGCATGGTGTGTCCAAACCCTTCGCTAACATGAAGTATGTAATGTGTGGTGTGTGTCTGTCTCAATTTTGTTTTTCACTATTTTTGTTTTGTTTTGGTGTGTGTGTTTGTGTGTCCCTAATTGTTTTCACTTTCAATTTTAGTAGGTGAACGTGTTGGGCTTCTGGAAGTAATTCACTGGCTCAGAAAAATTACTGGCAGCTGGATCAGGAGAAAACAAACACCAGCGCTGATGAAGCTGAAAATTTCAAGTTAATTCTTCAAAGCAGCACTTTCCTAGGACAGTACAGTTTTAGGTTGGAGTGCTGCAATACTTTAATTCCTGGGACTGACTTTCTACAGGTGAGACAGAGATTGTTCTTACTTGATTGCTTATTTTTACCCTCTTCTAGGTGTGAGCAATAATTAGAGAAGTTGTTTGGGGGCGGGAAGGGGATGTTTGAATTCGTGCTGATTGCATGGACAAATGATCAGGCAGGTATGCAGTGTTGTATAAAGAAAGACAACAGTTTAAGAACAAGGAGTTGTTTGGTGGAAGATTAACCTGCCTGAAGTGGAGAAGTAGTTGTATAGTCTGTCTGTGAGTACAGCAGCTGTGTTCCAATCTGTAAACACCACATTTTTGGTTTTTTTTGTTTATAATGTATTGCTGAGGTACAGTGATAATGGGACTGGGGGGTTCTTTGTAGCTGTGGGAAATTCGTATGATGATTAAGTCATTTGCATAAAGTCATGTTAATAGCTGAACTTGAGCCTTAGAAGTAAGGTGCAACTCCATGGCTTCAGATAGATGTGCAAGGTTCTTAGTTGTTTCAGAAAATAGTGGGTTTCCTTCTGAAAAGGAACGGTGTTAAATGGAGGAAAAAAAAAAACCCAAAAAACAAAACCCTTTAAAAATCCGTTGTTTGTAAAGGTGTGGTGCTACGCTTCCTGTTAAAGGGTGGAGATGAAGATGATAGCTACTGCTTTTCAGGCATTGGAGTGCTATGTTTTTCTGTTGATGTTATTGCTTCAGAAGTTACTGAGCGTGTCTTTGTAATACGTGCGATTATAGAAGGGCCAGGAGAACCATACACAGTGTTGTTTCTGCAGCAAGGTCTTGTTGAAGGTGCTTTATTGAGAAATTATATCTTAATAATCATAAAGCAGCTGTTTTACTCTAGGCCATTTACTATCTAGTCAGGTAGGCTGGCTGAAAACATTGTTGAGGAACTGCAAGTAGCAAATACAATGGAGGAAAAACACCTCATTCATCTGTTTCTTTAGTGGTGTCAATGTTTGGTTTCTGTCTTGTTTTTGGAGTCTTGCCCTGTGCTGTTTGCTTTCAGAGCTTGCTTTTGTTGGAGAGAATTGAGTTGATGGAGAAACGGTGAAGGGAGTCAAGCAGCTGGAGACTGGGGTTTTGAGATTCTTGCCAAGTATAGTGGTGTGACTTCTTGAGTTCTGGCTGTTAAGAAGAGTTGAAATGGTGAAAGAAAGCAGGAAGAAAAGAATATATAGAAATAGCTTCAGCCACATTGTTGACAGGATGTTACCGAAAGGAAGCATTACTGAACATGTCCAGTTAGCTTCCTGAATGTGAAGATCATCTTTAATGCTGCTTCTGTTATTAACTTCCACCTTTATAACTGAGGGTACTAACCAAGCATTCAAATTCAAATTATTTTCTGTTTTTTCATGTGAAAAGTCCCAAACCATCAAGCAGATGGTAAGCTATCAGTGTTTCTTGTTTGTTTTCTAGTATTTGTAATGTACTCTGACAATATTGAAGGTTAAGTCAGAGTGGTTGAATAGGCATTTTGTTCTTTTGTTATTTTTTTTTTAAAGGAAGCAGGGGCAGGGATTTGGGATTTCTTCCACAGTATTTGAGCACCAGGTGTTAAAAAGCACCTTTACGTGGACTTAAGTTGCTGAGATGTTCTCACTTTAGAGATCGCTTCTTGGGATTTGATAAGCAGTGAAACTTCTTGCCTTGATTCTTCAGGAAATGAAGTTGTTTTTTTTTGTTTAAAGTGTTTGCAAGTAACACAAATACAAAATAAATACTAAAAATGCAGCAGCAGTTGGGTGAGGAAGACTGGTCTGCACTTTGATCCTCTCTAAGCGTGGCCAAAGAATGACAACCAGTCTTAATTGAAGTAAAAACTCTGCGTGTTCTATTTTTGGTTTTCAGTGTTCATGGTTTTTTAATAACATAATAAGAAGAAAAGACAAACCACAGTCTGTGATTCTTTCACTGATAAAACTTAAAGCACCACTGCACGTTTGCTTTTTCCTTCCAGATTAGGTGATTAGTCTGAGACGTAATGCACTTAGTAGTTTATTTTGTTGTAATGCTTAATGTTGATCTGTATTTTGCTATAGTGAAATCACATGCATCAGAAGTGTAAGATGTTCTTATTGTATCTGCTCCCTGTGCAAAAGCACAAACAGACTGATTATAATTTTCTGTTGCTTCAGAGTTAGAAATTATTAGGAGAACGTGCTGGTAATGCTTGTTGAAATAACGCAGACATTTGGTATTTGAATGTCCCACTGTAATCATTATTATTGTGTTACTTTTCAGGGTAACCAGCAAGAAGAAAATCAAGCACTTGAATAATGACTTTGGGGCAGTTCTTGGACCTTTTTGGTTTTGCTGGGAGGGTTTTGTGAGTTACAAAGAATGACTGTAAGTTCTCGTATGAAATCCCATGTAATTCATTGAACAACTAATTAAACTTTAATTACCTAAAGTTCTGTTGTGTTACCTTAGTGTTAATAAAGCGTGTGGAGTGGATTTACTTAACTGTGAGGTTCTGTGCAAAATTTTCTTGGCATCAGGTCTGTACAATTACTGGCTGTAATGCCAGTAGGTGCGTTGCAGACTTACTCAATGTCAGTTACTTCTTGTACTTTGTATTAACAAAAAGGTTCCTCGGAATTTATTAAAACTCCAAGGGTTAAAACAGAAACAACTTTCCAGTAGCAGTTGCAGCATGAAGTACATTTCCTGCCTGAATGCTTTTCTTTGGGTGATTTTGCTAGGGAGCAAATTTGAAATATTGCACATAATGGAAGGCATATTTAGAGGTCACTGATGCAATTAATGATGGTGAAAACAATGGACTAAGGAGTGTGTTGTGTTATTTCCTTCTAAAAATTGAGTAATTGAGATCAGATGTCGCTGTTCATTTCGTGGAATAATTTGATTGGTCGTTTGGCTCTTGATATTATGGAGGCTGACACATAGCACATTTTATTATGCCTCTCTTACAGTGTACCTTAATTTGTTCTTTTGTAGAGAAAGTAATTAAATATGGAGTACCTTTTGTAACAAGTTCAACGGAATAGTGTAGAGTTCTGAATTAGTTTTGCAGTTAGATATGAGTAATCTGGAAAGTTCTTAACTGAAAAACTGTGAGATTAGCGTGATGGTATTGAGTGCATGTCTGTCAAAAGGGCAGAAACTCCCAGTCTTCAGTTTTCTTTTTTCATTTAAACCACACACTTTCATAATTATTTGGGTTGTGATCATTATTCAAACCAGTCGGGTTTTCCGTTGACTTCCATCAGAACAGCCTCTTTCTATGGAGAAATTCCCCTAATGGCATTCAGCTTTTTCACTTGTGATAAGAAGCTGCTGATCTTAAATACGCTCTTTATTTTTCGTATGTTGAATATAAACGTTCTTACTTGGCTTGTTAATATATCTTTTGTCAAATGGCGCACAGAGAACTTGTAAGTAAACTGGAGAGGATTATTTGTTAGAGCTTCCTCCAATTGGAAGTGCCATTTCCCATGTTTTTGTCTGTGTTCTCTTTGCTCTGTGCCTTTCACTGTTCTGACTCCTAAGCAGTCACTTGTGTAAGTGACTCAGTTTGGCCCATGGAAGATAGTGAGGCTGGTGATATGAGCTGTCAGTTAAATGACTTCATTGCTCTCAGATTGTATCCTGTCAGTGTCACCACTGTGAAAAGGGGAAAGGATTTGGCCTTTGGCATAATCACTTGTCTGCCTCTGAAGCCAACACCATCAGCAGAAGAGCCTGCTGCTGCAATAGCTCTTTGCATGAGGAGCTCTGTCCATCACCGTCCTGCCAGCCTGGTTCTTGTGCTTTAAAAAAGAACAGTCACAATTCTGTCATGCCACTCTCGTGGAAGTGAACTAATGCTGCAAATGCATTATATTTTTAGGTGCACTCACTATGAAAAATGCTGGTAGGATGTTTATTCTGATAGTATTGAATGTAGTGTGATACAGCTGCTACTGTACTGGATAATGATGTTGACACAGTTAACAGAAACTTACAGAATTTAACTGTCATTTGTGTTGTCCATTAAATTTTGCAGAATGGTTGCACAGCAGTGAGTCTGACACAGGAGATATCTGCTCCTGCTGACAGTTAGAGAGCAACGCCTCTGTTTTTGTCAAACAAATAACAGCACAGTCAGTTTTTCTGCAGCTGTGGGTCTATGGGAATTGCTGAACTAGGTTGTGTTCAAATGTAAGAACTAAATATTGGTCACGCTGCTGCTCCAATGATGGATTGAGAACATGGAGGAATTAAAACGTAGAATAATTAAGCAAAATAATTGGGCTCTTAGCAATGCCACATATTGATTTCTAACATAAGTACTAGAAAGGAATTTGTAGTGAAAGGTGAACAAAAAGCTGTGAAACACACAGGTTCGTTCTTGTGTTTATAATGTGGACTGACTGTCATGTTCGCTTTTCTTAGGACTGTGGCTCTATTTAACCTTTCTGAAATGTGATTAACGACAGAACTAGGAAGCTTCTGTCCAAATAAGAACAGGTTTTGTGTTGGAATTTAAATTTCAAACCATTAAGCCAAAGAACTTACAATACACTCATTTTCATACTAACCTCATATTTTATTATTTTGCCTTGGCCAGAAGTTGTTCGTTTTGTTGTCTTTTTTCTTTTAAAGCAACAGCTATTGTGCTCTTAGCTAAATAGTTTACTGCTCTATGAAAACTTGATGTGTTTTTTTCTTTATCAGGAAAGGTGATCTACAACATTTGAGTTAAATTTATTTCAAGCAGCTCTTGTGAATGTCTTTAAGCTGTGAGATAAGCAGTTTTGTAGGTAGCTGCAGACACCAGAGAGGATGGAAGGGGGTGAAGGAGAACTAGGATGTGAGACTCTCCAGTAGGCTACTCTAGAACATGACAGCATTTCAGTATGCTATGTTCTTACTGTTTCGAATGGCTGTTTAATTTTTCAGCTCTGAAATACCTGTATGAGGCTTCATCATGCAACCAAATGTTCACGAGGGAGCAGAACCACGTTGTTTAAGAATGTAAAAGGAATGCAGGAAATCTGCAATTATTCTGAGTTCATCAGGTTTAGTAGACGCAAGTTGTTTCTCTTTCTTTTTATCCTATAGTAAAACAAGAGTGAATTCCAAGTGTAACTTTTGTAAGGCATGATTGCTTGTCTGTAAGAAAGGTTTTTATAAGATGGAATACCATCATAAACGTGGTGATACTTCTTTTTTTTTTTTTTTTTTCAAGAGAGTTTCAAGTCCCACGTCTGTTACTAGTGACATATTTTCTGGGTTTCTAAATCAACCCAGAAGAGTTTCAGCAGTGTGTAATGTTAACCACGTTCTCATGAGTCACTGCTGAAAATACTGGTCAGTGGATGGCAGAAAGGAAGGCACATCAAAGGAGGAATTGCAAACGTAGGAATGAATGGTAGAGTTTCAGTTTGAGATGTGTGATTGAAATGTGACTTAGAGAGGAATGGTGGATGTAAATTTTTTTTTTTTTGTGGTACAAGTGCTTACCTGGCTCAGGACAAGCCTGCTGCCTCCCTTTTCTGACAGCAGAAGCAATTCCTGTTTCATCCCTCTCTAATTCCAGAGTGATTCCTCATCACTACAGGAGTCAATTTCTGGGTAGCCAGGCTTCTGTTTTCATTAAGTTGAGGATTCAACAGATAAACAGGATGCTTCTAAAATCAGGTGTAAGAGGTGTCAGATCTTTGCCTTCTGATTTAGAGCATAAAGCAGTACTTCCTTCTGTAGTTTTCATGTGCGTAAATGAAAATTGATGTGTATTTAACATACCAAGGTAGGTCTGCCATTCAGTGATGTTTGTAATCTTGCTTCACATGCATACTTGTTCTAAATACCTAGCCAACCTACAGGCAGATTTACAAAAAGGGCAGGTATGTTTGTGCATTCATCTGTGTATAAAAATGTTCCCACTTTCTGTTTATAAAATCGTGCATGAATGTGGGTTGGATGGAACCTCTGAGAAACATCTCATCCAATCTGCTGCTCATCGTAGGGCTGGCTCCAGGCTTGGATCAGGCTACTCAGGACCTTGGCTAGCTAAATCTCAAAAAACGTTGAATATTATACAACATTTTGAAATGTTTAATAGAGTATAGGGCTCAGGATTTAAGATTAATAGGAAAAGGAAAATAGTAATGCATATGTATTGGTTTTTTTGCTCTTGTGGCAGTCTTTCAAGATATGTGACTTGACAATATGGGAGTGCTTGAAATATATTTGTTTGGATGCCTACATCATACAACTGCAGGCAATTACCAAATGTATTAATTTTATCTGTGTGCACATGGAAAATATTTCAAATGTGCCAGAAAGACCTTATTTTGTCTGACCCTCAGAGAGGATGTATTTTGAAGTGATGAGACTGCACACACTGTGCTAAGTTGTCTTTGTTACATTATTGTCATGTTTGATTTTGCAATCAAGTTGTATTTCTATCAATAAAAATGTTTTGGTGAATGTGTTCTGAATATGCAGTAGAGGCACTGAAAAATCACATTCTATAGGATGGAGATATGCTACCTAAAAAGGTAAGCTTGATTTTAAGTTACGTTTGTTCTTTGCCTTGTAATGTGTTAAGTAAATTAAAGAAAAAAGTATACACATATTTTGCAAAAGGAAAAAAAGGGGGGAGGCATCTTAAAGCTATTGACTTATGAAGTCCTTGTTTTTTAAGACAGGATATTCTGCCTCTCTAAAGTGAGTGTGTCTTCTTGTTCTTTCTCTCCATCCTCAGTGATATAGCATCTTTATAGTCTATGAAATCTTCACATAGGAAGAACCTTGCCAGCTTAAGTGATGGGCTAAGGTTAGGGCCTGGAACTAAACCGGTATAGATGCTCTTCTTTAAAAACTCCATTGTACAATAATGTCAGTTTGACTGGGTTCATTGCAGTGGTGTTTTGGGTGCTGATCTGATCAGACTTGAACTCAGCACAGAGCAGCTCTGATGCTTGTGTCATTTTTCAATCACTACTTGTGGATAACTGCAACATATTTAGTGTATCCCAGTATCTTTTCTCACAGTTAAAAACCTTTTTTGCCTCTTAACATCCTGAAACTTGCAATTCAATATGTTACTGTGGTTTCAACTGTCAGCTTGAACAAGTGTAGATTTGAATGCAAATACCTCAAGAGAACGCCTTCGTGAGGTTTGTGAATTAAGGCAGCTGCACATACAACATGTTTTTTCACATACAGTAGAAATGTTATCCACTGCTGTGAGCCAGGTAGCTGTTGTCTGTTTGTATCTAAAGTAGTTTTGAAATGGCTTTTTATTTTTATTTATTTATTTTTTTTTAAGTCTGGCCATAAGATAAAGAACTGCACGATTTTATTTCAAGGTTGAGTTTACAGCAAATGCACATCTGAGAATGAGGTACAGTTGTTTTTTTTTTCCTCAAGATAGTAAATGTCATAGAGACTGGGCAGAAG